AATAAAATATCACACAGATGCCAGGTATTCTGTTCACAAGGTCACAGCACATACAGGTGCGGACTGCTCCACCCAAAGGGAAGGCCATAAAGATAAGGTACAGCTGCACACCGCTCGACCAAACAGGAGGCGCCCACACGGGAGGCACCCCCTGAATCACTCAACCTCACACAGAATGGAGTCAAGTTGGCTATCACAAAATGTTTCACTATTTCCGTAATTGAAATATTAAAATTATGTATACATTTTTATTTAAAATAAAAACAAATACCCTCTTTTGTTTTAACCAGGGATCAAACTCAGGACCTTGCACTTTCAAGGCAGGCGGCAGCACCGAGCTAGATCCCCAGCCAAAGCAAATGCCTTTTAAGGCTGATTTTTATGAATTTCACAATTACACGTTTTATAAGCATCACTTGTTAGGTTGCCATTGCCTTCACCTCGGACTTCTACCCTCTGCTCCCGAGTCTGAGCTTCCCCACTCCTGTGGGTGACTGGCAGCTCCCATGCTTGTCTCTGGGGAGCCCTGTCTCCGTGGCCTCTCATGGGAAATGACTTTTTAATGTCCAGATCCAACAAAACTCTATTCTGCCCACGCCCAGTGCTTTCAGTGTATTCTTACAACCTTGTGGGAGAGACCCTTGGATAGCTACATAACTTCATTGGGTCATATCTTTAAATGAAATCACAGATGTAATCCATCCCTATAGACCACTCCCCAAAACTGAACTCAATTCATAATCCCTGAAATTAAAGCTCACAGGCTAATTGAACTATGCTGTCTCCGGATGTTGTGGCAAAGCAACGGCTCAGTGCTATAGCCAAGTGTTACAGTGTTACAATTTGAAGACTCCGGGGATTGGGGATTTAGCTCAGTGGTACCACCACCTGCCTCCAAAGCACAAGGTCCTGAGTTTGATCCCTGGTACCAAAACAAAACAAAAAACTCAAGAATCCAATGGTCGCTCAGAGAGGTGGGAAAAAAACTTTTATTACACTGGCCAGCTTAGAGGAATTTATACTCAAAGTCTGAACATTCAACCAGAAATGAGACCTTCCTGCACTCCTGTAATCCCAGCAATCAGGAGGCTGAGGCAGGAGGATTGCTGTGAGTGTGAGACCAGCCTGGGCTACATAGTGAGTTCCAGGTCAGACTCAACTACGTAGTGAGACTGTCTCAAAAAAATTTAAAAAAAAAAAAAAAGAAAGAAAGAAATGAGACCTTCCTTCTCACTTAAAGCCGGGTGTGGTGGCACATGCTTGTAATCCTAGGGAGGCTGAGGCAGGAGGATCACTGAGAGTTCCAGACCAGCCTGGGCTACATAGTGAGTTCCAGGTCAGTCTCAACTACATAGTGAGACCCTGTCAAAAAAAAAAAAAAGAAAAAGAAATGAGACCTTCCTTATGTAGGGATCTACAGGGTAGATGAGCAGGCTTGCTGAAGGGGGTGGAGTCACAGAACATTCCTGAAATACATGCCTTGTGAGCATGCTCACTGAAGCAGCGGGGTGGATTTTCAAAGGTGGTTAACAGAACAGCCCTGTAAGGGGTGGGGCTTAATAGAACATTCTGTTAAGGGGTCAGAGTTACAGAACATTCCTGAGAGGCACAGACAGCTACAAAAAAGTTTGATACACTGGGCAGGAGCCCTGCCCAGCAGCACAAACTGTTGTATTTCTGGAACAAAACATTCTGTTGGGGAAAAAAACATGGAGGCAAGACAAGGCAAGGGCCTGCCTCATTACTGTTGCTCCATCAGTGGTGAAGGTGCTTTATGGGTGCGTCCGGCTTTCCGGGCTCTTCTGAGTGTGGGTGGGGCCTCCAGTCCGCCTTCAGTCCGCCGAGAGGGCAAGGAGAGCTGACTGCGCAGAGGCCCCTGGTCACAGAGGCCTGTCTGGGGGCAGAGAATTAAAGCAATGGACCTTGGGACAGAGAAGGGACTGCGTGCTGCGCTGCCGCAGCTGCTCAGGCTCGTCCTCTCCGCTCCCGCCCCCCACACCTGAGCGTCACCTTGGAAGCCACACGGCGTCCACTGCCCCGACCACGCTCCTCCCCCAGCGCTGGATGGGCTCAGACCTCGAAGCCTGCCCGTCCCAGAGGCAAGGACATCGCCTCATACCTTACGAGAGCAGCAGAAGCTGTGCATTCACCGGAAACAGACCTTGTGAAGCGCGGGCCGGCTCGAGGGCGGGAGGGGACCGCTGCGGGTCCGCCGTGTCTCTTACCGAGCGCTGGCTCGGGCCTGGAGATCCGCGCAGAGCAGGGGGAGACCTCCGCTAGTCCTGCGGTGGCAGGGTCCGAAGAGCCAGAGGACGGCAGTGGCCATGGGGCGAGGGTCCACGGGTGGAGCCCCGGGACCCCTGCGGTGTACGGGGTGACTCTCCCCACTGCCCCTCAGTTGTCTTTCCTTGCCTTCATCTGTGTCCACGGTGGTTGGGACCGGTGAACACATAAAGCCAACACTGTGATGATATACTTTCACAGAGTTAAAAGTGCAAAAAATACTTAAAATGAGTTAGGACGCTTTAAAAGTCTTTAAACAATTTGTACCTCTAGTATTGGAAATTAGGCGCAGTGGAAATAAATAGCATAGAAGTTGTGAAAAACCGTGCTGACAATGTAAAATAGCAGGACAGCTCCTGAGCCCAGCAGCCTGGGAGGTTGACATGGGGATCGCTGGGGGAGGCTCGGGCTTGGGAGGCCGTGTGTCCTCCAAGGTGACGCTCAGGTGTGCATATTTCAGGGACAGACACAGCGGAGGTGAACGCTGGCGAGTTCTTCTCAGAGGGTAGCTCACATTCTGCCTCTTTAACTTCTCTAGATTCTAATTTTCCTGTCAGGTCCTTCCTGGTTCCTGGGATTGACTTTTTCTCCCCCAAGTTGCAATTTTCCCGTCTGGATTCCGAATCCCTTAGCTCCATCGCTCACTATTCCACCATTTTGCTGGAAGTCTCTGGTTCACATTCATTTTCTACATCACACTGCTCTCTGGAGTTCTGTGACTCTAGACGCCAGCGTGAAGTTCCCTGTCCACTGTCCACCTCTCCCACCTCTGTGCAAGGCTGCTGTGGTCTGGGGTACACAGCCACCCATTCCACGTGTGCGCGCGCGCGCGCACACACACACACACACACACACACACACACACACACACAAAACAGCTTGCGTGACTCCCACTTGCTGCCACAGTTCTTCTGGAACCATTCAGCAAGATGAAGCTTTAATTTATTAAATGCTCCTGGAATTTCTTCAGCAGTAAGCAACACCACTGCAGATTTTGTGTGTGTGTGTGTGTGTGTGTGTGTACTGGGAATTGAACTCAGGACCTTGTGCTGGCCAGGCAGACAGTGCCACTAAATCAACCAGCCCAGAAGGTGACTTTTAAACAAATTTTCAGCACTCCTGTATCACGTGGGCAACAGACTCGTCTGAATGCTCTGCCCGATGTGTCGGACCGAGCTGGGCAGACAAACACTTCATTGGGGCCGTGCTTTGGTTAAGGGTCCTCCAAAGTCCCCCGTCCTGTGGTGCTATGGGGAGGTGGGACCCCTAAGAGGAGGAAGCGGGGTCCCTGGGGATGCCACTGAAGGGGAACTGGGGCCCCAGCCCCTTCTCTTTGCTTTTTGGACACCAAGAAGTGAGATTTGCCCTCTAGGTGCTGCCACCATGAGGTGCCACCAAGTGGCCCTGGGCTGAAGCCCCTGCAGCCAGAAGCCAAGGAAGGAGTCTCCCATGTTTACTCTCTCGGGCAGTTTGTCAGCGACAAAACTGCAACAGCAACTGGTGCCTCCACAGAACCAGCCCCACAGGCCAGGGGGCTCCTCTTCCAAGCTCAGATGCCAAGACCCTTTAGAGGGTCCCCCAACCCTGTGTGACCCCGTGGATTTGAGTTCAGCCACAAGGCCCCTGTGCCAACCCGAGCCACTCCTCCTCCCTGCTTTGTGGTCTCCCCAGAAGATGGGATCCAAAACTGATGTAGACGATAAAACACCAAGGGGCAATGCCAACTTCCACTCACAGGAGAGGATTTCTGGGTAAGAGAAACTGATGCTCCCCCAAGAGGTACTTTTGATTTTTCCTCTCTTAGCTGTGGCTGCCCCAAATGTTTCGTGGCTGCTTAGAAGTTTCTGACTTGTTTGCACGAGCTCAGGTCACTGGTCCACTCTGATGACCCCGTGCCTCCACAGGTGCCCTGGGCCACTTGACCCGCGTCGCTGAGGAGCGACTGGACACTGTGCACTTGTGAGTATTTGGGGTCTGTAGAAAGCGCTCCGCGTGCCGCCGCCGCTCGGTTTTATCCGGCCCATCTACAATTCCTGTGGAGGGAGCGCACAGGGCAGCTTGTGCTGAGCTGGCCGGAGGGGACCGAGAAGCGCAGAGCCGTGGGGGCTTGGGAGCTGCTGGCTCGGACTTCCGGATGAGGCCCCGGACCCTGCGGGCTCCATCTGCGCCCCCGGGCTGACTCCCCATGTTGCGCGCCCAACACAAAGGGGGCTGCGCTTTGCCTGTTCGCAGTTTCCGTCCAAACTGCGCGAAAGAACCCCGGCAGCCAGCCAACCGCTCGAACAGAGGAGAAAGTGCCTCTGCTGCTGGGTTAGAGGATAAGGGCTGGGCGCACTAGAACTCTGGTTTGCAGTGTAGACTTCCCCTCTGCTGTCTCGAGGGCGTCCTGGGCCTTCTCACCGGCCTGTCCAGGCGCGGACAGCAGGGGAGGGAGCGCGAGCCGTGAGCAACCAGTGGGCAGGGGACACGCCAGGATGGCCGCGTCGGGCCCGGGGTGTCAGGGCTCCGGCAGCTTCTGCCTGCGCGACAGCCTGGCAGTCCCTGTCCTCCTTACCCAGGTCCCGGCCCGCTCCAGGTGCGCACCGCACGTCCCCACACGGAAACCCACTTTCTCCATCTGCGGAAGAGCTGTATCCCTTTTGTAGCAAGTTTGACGAGTAAGGACAGCAAAGCCTAGAAAGTTCCAGCTGGCAGAGTTGGGACTCTTATACAATCATAAGACACCAGATGCCATCTTTTAAAATGTTTTATTTTGACATATTTTGAAGGTGTTAAAAGAACCCACCAGATTACTACGTTAAGTCTTAGCATTCTGGTGCACTTCCATGAAGACCACACACAAAACCACAAGGGAAGCCTGTGAGCCCTCCCCGACCCCGCTGGCCTCTCCCGCCAGTGGCAGAGCAGTGGGGTTCTTGTTACTCCAGTCCACAACTCGACACGCATTTCATATCGTTTGAATCCACAGAAAATGTTGTGCAAAACAGTAACAGCGTCTCCTACATACCAAGAACACTTACATACCAGACACGAAACACCTTACATGCATTATTTCATAACTACACCCCATTTACAAAGAGTGAAACGCCAGTCAGCAGACGCGCGGTGCAGCAGTGCACGAGCTTACCTTAGGTGAAGGGCACCCTGGACCGGCTCCTGCGGTGTGCTCCGCTGAATGCCGTAACTCGAATTCACTTCCGGGAGCACCAAAACCCAAGCCCAGGACAAGAACACCCGTTTGCCTGTTCTGCTGATGGCTGACACATTTCTCCCCATCCTGCTGCCTACGCAGTGCTCTCTGGAGCAGGCTTTTCTTTCCTCAGATGGAGCTCGACTAGGATGTACCAGAGGGGACTGTACAGGGGAGTGCTCTCGACTTCACAAGCCCTTGCACACTACTTGGGACAATAGCCAAAGCAGCGTCAATTCCAGCTGTCCCACACGCAGCCAGTCGGGCTTTTGTGAATTCTGGCTTGTGTACCAGATCATCTGCATTCTGCATTTCTCCTGTTTTCTTCTCAACAAATGTGTCTGGTTTGACAATCTGTCAGCAAGGGTGGGCTGAGCACACTGCGCAGGTGACACCCACTTCTCGCTGGGATAGTCCCGGCCCATCTGGCCCTCCCATCCGAAACCTCAGTTCCCCAAGGTATGCGGAGAAGGCGGGCCAGGTGGGAAGCTGAGGCACCGGAGACCTGGTGTCAGCTGGAGTCTAGGGTCCAAAGCCATCCACAGCAGGCTCCCAACCGGCAGGCGTACTGAGCACTGGCATCAAAATTCCACGTGGGGGCCCCTTCAAAACATCCCAACCCTAACTTGGCTGAAAACAGTCCAGTTCTCAAGTCCTTTAGAGACAGTTTGGGCAAAAATCTCCTCTGCGTGGCAAGGACCCAAGCCTGGCAGTGCTCCGTGACGGGCAAGGAAGCTGAGAGCGCCCAGCAGGGTGCGGCCTAGGAGAGGGCTAGGAACAGGCACGGCCTGTGGTGAAGGAGGACAGCAAAGTCGGCGGGGGATGAGGGCGAAGGCAAAACCAGCACCGTTACACCAAAATGTTCAGTGGTCATGCCCAAGGTCAGACCTTTATTGATACATCTACAATATCACTTACAGAACTACGATTTTCTGAGCAGATGACATCAGCACAATCCTACAGAATACGTCAGCATAGAAGGTTCTGTTGGTTTTGACTTCATTGTGTATTTTTAAATTGGACTGGAATATATAAAAATAAGATCGCATTCTATCAAAATGGCAGTAAAAGAACCTGTTGGAACCAAACTTCACAAGGAAGTAGGTGGCACAGGTGTAGGGAATGGAACTTGCCAGAGAAGGCTATCCCTGGTAGAGCACCAGCTGACAGGTGAGCAGCACCTCTGTGAGGGCTCTGACGCAGGTATCCCGGATCCCTGAGACCACTGGCTCAGAAAAGGGCCGAGGCGCTCAGAGCTGGGGACCCAGATCTGATAACTGCAAGACTTCCTTGGCCTAGCCGCCGCCCAGCCACACTTGGTGTCAGCTTCGGACACTTGATTCCACCGTAGAAAAGGCGAGAGGGTGGCAGGACCACCTAAGATGACAAAATTGAAAACGCAGCACAGTGCCCAGGAGACGCCACTGAAGCCATCTGTGGCTGCGCCTCGCCTGTGTGCAGCAGCCCCTGGTCCTCGGGAACTCGGCACACTGGTTTCTTCTCCCTGGAAGATGCGGCCCGCCCAGGATCATAACCCTACTTGCGGCCCAACAGGGGGCAGCCCGAGACCTCGCCACCACCGCGCACACCTGTGCTATCCTCAGGACTTCAAGGACTCCCGTGCACCTGAGAAGCAAACAGCAGTCCTCCACACCACAGCCCCGAGGGAGGTGGCCCTGCTTTCTGAACACAAGCGGGCGGGCAAGCGAGAGGCGCCCCTCAAGGCCCCCGATCCACAGCGATCTCCACAGACCACCTCTCTCCACAGAAGGGCCCGAGGCCACCAGTGCTCACGAGGCCCGGCCCACTCCACTCTACCCCGGAGCCTCCCGCTGTCCCCTCGCATGCCCGCCAAGACCCCACCTCTGCCTGCTCTCCTAGGGATGCCCGTGGTGCGCTCACCTCCTCCCGCCCGGGGTCTGCTCCAACCTCACCTGCCGACCCTCCCCCGGCCTACTGAACGTCACCTCCCGGCCGGCACTGCTCACTTTCTCGGTCCTCAGCACATCCCTCGTGTTTACGTGACGGCAAAGACAGCAGGACGTTCGTGTACCGGCCACCGCGGGCCTCAGCACTCACTGGTGCCCGACACAGGGCCAGTGCTCTGCTGCCTGAGGGGCCGTGAGGGGTGGAGATGGCAGCAGGATGCCGGCGGAGCTCCACTCCCGAGTCACGGAGGCCACCAGCCCACTCTGCACCACGCTGCAGACGCCTCAGAGCCTCGGCAGAAACGAACCCAGCTAGGACTCCTCAGGAGACATCTGGGAGAAGACTGGTCCTCGACACTGCACCATCACAAGCCAAGCCCAGAGAGACACAGACACCCCAGCCCCTTGGCAGCAGCCACAGTGCACCAGGCCACAGTGCCGCCCAGTCCCAAAGGCAGCATCTTGTCCTTAGCTGGCTGTGGAGACCTGGCTGGAGGAAGCCGGGGTTATTTGCAAGACCTGCTCCTGGGGCCTGGGCCTGTTAGGCCCGAAGAACACGCCGCCGCTGCCACCGCCGTTCCCAGTATCGCTGCCTGGCAGGTAGACGGGGGACTCCCTGAGCTTTTAGATTCTCAGGATTCCCTGCCATCCACTCCCAAAAAGGGCCTGGGCCCGTGTAAAGGCTTGCCCCACAGCCTACAACCAGGGGCTCTCCGGCGGGACGGTCAGCAGCAGGCCCCGGCTACTCTTGAATATGGTTTTTCATGTGCCGAGCCAGATTCGAAGACCACCTGAAGGTCTTCCCACACACCCTGCACTTGAAGGGCCTCTCCCGAGTATGGAACCTCTTGTGGCTGAGGAGCAGCGACCCCTTGCTGAAGGCTTTCCCACACAGGTTACACCTGTGGCACTTCTTCCCCGGGGCCGCGTCCTGGGGTCCCGAGAGCGCTGAGCGCTGGTCACAGGGTTCCTCCGCGTCCCCCAGAGGCTTCTCCTCCCCTGGTGTTAGTTCCTGTGCACTCAGCCCCGTGTCCTGGAAGGAAGACAGCCCAGACGAGCTACATTCCGACTGGGTGACGCGGGGCTGCCTCCTCTGGTGGACGGAGAGAGCGTGTCTCCCGAGGAACTCTTTCCCAGTCCACTGGTATTTGAAAGGCCGCTCTGAGGCGTGGACTCTCTGATGGTTGACAAGACGGTAGTTTCTGTCGTAAGACTTCCCACACACGCTGCATTTGTAGCGCTTCTCTCCGCTGTGGATTCCCTTATGATCTAAGAGACTCCTCTTACGTGTAAAGGTTTTCCCACATTCTTGGCACCAGAACGGTTTCTGGTCGGTGAGGACTTTCGGGGACAGAGGTGGAGGCACGTCCCGCGGGTGGTCCTCGTGCTGGCGGCGCGCCGAGTGCTTCCTCTGGTGCCGGTAGAGATTGGAGCTCCACCTGAAGGCCTTTCCACATTCCCGGCACTTGTAAGGCTTCTCCCTGGTGTGAACTCTCTGGTGGATGAGGAGGAAGGAGTGGTTACGGAAGGCCTTGCCACACTGGCTACACTTGTGGGGCTCCTCTGGGGGGCGGCTGCTCTGTGGAACCTGGCACACGCCGTCCTGACTGAAGGACGGCCCGCCCTCCGGCTTTCTTTTAGTGGCGTGCTTCTTCTTGTGGACAATGAAGGCTGACCTGTAGGTGAACCTTTTCCCACATTCGCCACACTGGTACGGTGTCTCGCCCGTGTGCACTCTCTGGTGCTCAAGGAGGGTTTTCTTTTGCGTAAAAGTTTTCCCGCACTGCTGACACAGAAAAGTGTTCTCTCCCACAGGGGGCCCCTGCGGCTCACGGCAGTCCTTCCGGGCGACATCGCCCTGACGCAGACCCGGCGCACAGAGCTCCTCGTCCTGGTGCAGCCTCACGTGGCGGGTGAAGTTGGACCTCCAGCGGAAGGTCTTCCTGCAGCGGGCACATTTGTAAGGCTTCTCCTGCGTGTGGATCCGCTGATGTTCAAGGACATAGGACTTACAGTGGAAGGATTTCCTACACTGGCTGCAGTCAAAGAGCTTCTCCCCACCCTGGTCTCTCAAATGAGGCTCTAGCTCTGAGCCGTAGGCGAGGGCTTCCTCACACTGAGTCGACTCCACTTTCTGCTTCGTGTGGGTCTCCTGGTGCAGACGGAAGGCGGACATGCGCTGGAAAGCCTTGTCACACGAACCACACTTGTACGGCTTCACTCCGGTGTGAATCTTCTCGTGCCGTATGCAGTTGGAGCTCCACCTGAAGGCTTTCTCACACACCCTGCACTTGAACGGCTTCTCCTGGCTGTGAAGCCTCTGGTGGTACTCGAGATGGGAGCTCCGTTTGAAGGTCCTCCCGCAGTCCCGGCACCTGTACGACGTCCCCACGGCAAACAGACCTTGCTCATGGGGGTGAGCAGCGCCGAGGCCGAAGCCCTTCCCACAGGCGTCCTTTTCGCTCCCCATCAGCCCGCTGTGAATCCTCTGATGGAGGCTGAAGCCCCCCACCGCGTGTCTGCGCCCCTTTCCTCGTTTCTTATAGTCATAATGGTGTGAACTTTTCCTCAGGTGTCTCTCACAGCCATGTATTAGGGATCGCTTTTTCCTGGAGACTCTCAAATATGCTACATGTTTTAGGTCAGGAGTGTCACTCCTTTCTGACATGTCCAATTCTCGCCCTGCCGTGGGACTGAAGTCACACTCTTCCTTCTTAAGGCTCACACAGCGCTTTGTTAGCCACCTCTGCTGTTCCAAAGACGCTCCGGGCCCCGCCCCCTCCGGAACACTTGTCACAGGACTCTTGGCTGACACAGCATCATCTGCATCTGCGTCTTCCACAGGTTCTTGCTTTAAGACCAATTTGTTTGACTTCATCTGGAGCTCACCTCCTGACAAAAATTAAGACACAAGAGAATGTACTTTGGAACTGCAGTAAGGGCATTAAGGCTCCTGGCAGACTGCCAATGCCTTTTCAAAAACAGTCAAGGCCAAGGCAAACCACGGAAGGGGACTCCAGACAACAGGGAAGGGAGGACACAAGATGGATACAGCAGCTGGAGTCAGGCAGGAAAATGAAAAGGTCGGGAGGACAGCAAACTAGCAAGGGAGGGGCTGCACCGAGGCGTCGGAGCACGCAGAAAGGGGCCCCTTGCCAGGGGCTGGGGCTCTGGGAAGCACCTGGATGAAAGGACTGGAGACCAAGCCTAGCACAGAAGGAAGTCAGAAAAAAGGAACAGGACAGGGTGTGCCTAGGGGTTCGGGGAAGAGTGGGCACCGGGCTGAGGAGAATCCACGAGCGGAGAAGAGGACAGGAAAAGCCTTCGGTGGGAGAGTCGCCGGGAAGGGACCAGCCTGGACACAAACAGCTGTCCTGGGCCAGTCCGCAGGGGAGAGGCCTGGGGCCTGAGCCCCGAGCAGCATTGGTAAAGGTCTTCCTCCTGGCCAGCAATGACAGGGCAGGCCCTGGTCAGTACTAGACAGGAAGGCAGGGCCTGGCCAGCTCCCTGGACTCACCTGTAGGAGTGGAACCCGGAAGCCTCTTAGACTGAGCTGTCTGGACCTTCAGGCCCCAGGGCTCCCTTGCTTCTAACCAAGAGATGAGGGCAGGTTTGGAGCAGGACCCCGCTGCAGAAGAGAAGAGGAGGGGTGGGAGGCACGTGGGTCACACAGAACAGCTCTCCGGGGTCTTCCACCCGGTCCTGGTAGGGACAGGCCAGGGGACAAGGGGAGGGAGGGAGGGAGGGCACAAGCCCAGACCCTGAGCAGACACACAGAGCAGGGACTGAGAAAAGTCACAAACACAAGGGCTCCTGCCACCTCCTGCACTGGGAGCCAGGACTGCACGGTTGGTTAGGTCGGCTCACATTTCTGCAATGCCATTTTTTCAATGCCCAGGAACTAGAGACATCTTTAGTGTTTATAATAACCCAGCAGGGCAGGCATAATCATCTCCGTTTTTCAGAAGAGGACAGTGTGGTGACAGATGCGGTGACCGACCTCGTTAGTAGTTATTGAGCCAGGACTGACACGAGTTTAGGCTCCCTCTGTGCACAATTAACACCGAGAAGGCCGAAGCCAGGTGTCCACGTGTCCACAGCCAGGGTGTCAGGGGCTCACCCAGGGAAGCCGCATTCCCGTAGTTCTCCAGCATCACATCCCTGTACAGGTTCCTCTGGGTCGAGTCCAGGCAGCCCCACTCATCCTGGGAGAAAGTCACCTCCACATCCTTGAAAGTCGTGGCCTCCTACAGAAACACGGGTGCTGGTCCCCCACCTCCCGGGCGGCATGGGGCAGGGATGGGGCTGGCTCTGGGTGGACAGAGGGTAGATCCAGCCAAAGTGCAGGACCACAGAAAGGAGAAGAGCTCGGGCTCCAGGGGAGTGTGGTCTCCGGGACGACAGAGGGGACACCCAGGATGGGGGAGCTCGGACTCAGCAGGGATGCACGTCCCACCTGTGACTTACCGGCAGCTCTGGCGTCAGGGACCGTGTGGCTGTGGCCCGGTCTCCTGGGCTCCCCTCTCTCTGGGAAAGAGAAGGCACCAGGGCAGGAGTATCTGAAGAAGAAGAGCAAGGCTTGAAAGAGGTGCTAGCCTGGATACCCCCAAGAAGCCCACTCTGCCCCAGTGACAGGCAGGTCCTCATGTCTCTTGGGGCCAAGGAGCGGGATGCACTGGAAGGTGGAGCCAGCCAGACTCAGGTCACGGAGGGTATGGAGGACAGAGCTAGGGACAGGGAGCTTCTGATGGGGGGAAGGACAGTGACAAGATGACACTCATATGTGGGAGGTGGCAGAAGGCCAGGGCCATAGCTAGGTGAGTACCGGGTGGCCCAGCCAGGAAGTCACGCACTCCTACTGCACAGGGAGGCTCCAGCTGGGGTCCCGGAGCAGAGCCGCTCCTGAGCGGGGACACAGGGGGCCAGGTCTGCGAAGACTGCAGGGCCGCAGTGCCCATCCAGTGCACAGCCGGGCTCGGGCCAAGGCCTGGGTTCTGTGAGAAGAAACCGTGAGAAGACCCTGTGGGGCCAGACACCAAACTCAGAGAAGAGGCCACACTGCAGTCTACGGGGCAGAGGCCTGGGAGCAGCGCCCTGTCACCTCCAGGGAGAGGGGACTGTGCCAGGCGCAGCATTCGGAGGCCTCCCACCCTCGCCAGAGGCTCTGGTATCTCCACTTCACCTAAGGACAAGCTGGGGGTCACTGGTAGCTCCAGTCAGTCCCCAGATGCCACAGTGACCCTCCCTGCCACCCCTTGTCCCCTCTCCGGGCCTGGAACAGAGAAATGAAGGAGACCCAGGTCCACAGTAACCACTGCCAGGCTCTGCCCTCAGCACCAGAAGCACTGTGACCAAGCTCCCAACTGCACACCTGAAAGAGAGGGGCTGGAGCTTCTCTAAGGTAGCCAGGGACCCTGGTGCAAAAGCAGACAGTGCCCATCCAGCCAGAGGAGGACTTCAAAGTACTCTGGTCTCTAAGTGAGCACAGCCCTGCCAAGATCTTACCTACACTGATACAGACAAATCAGCCAAGGCCCAGAACAGTTGACAGAGCGCAGGACTAAAAGAGGAAGGACTGCTCCACCCAAGCCTACAAAAGGCAAACCACAGAGCAGTGGGGGAACCAGGCAAACCGCCTTCTCATACCCTGGTGTTTTACACTGTAGGGATCTGCTCAGAAGACCCAGGTTTCCTCAGCATCTTAAAGCATTTCTGCTCCTTTGGCAGAATTGGGGGCCTTCTCTTGGCCCTCACCATCTTCTGCTCTCTAGCTGGCTTTCTGCAGGGGAGGCCCCTCCTGCTCACTGACAATGTTTTCGTGGATTTTAAAAACTTATTTCTAGCCCCAAATGCGCAAAATAGAACCAAGCCATTGTATGAATGCTATGTTTATTTAATTTTATAAATGATTAGTCCTTCTGAACAGCTTGGTGCTTTGGTAAAAGAAAAATGCTCTTTTAGATTTTTAAAAATAGTAGCCTCAATGTTGAACCATGATTTTTTTTTTTTTTTTTTTTTTTTTTTTTGCGTAGTCATACTTTACACTGATTTATTACTATTTACTGCTGGGAGGCCATGTTCAGATACTTTACTCTACTGAACCTTGTTAAGAAATCTGGGGAACCAGTATGTCAAATTTGTTTCAGAGCTCCTATGAGCACCTTTCACTTATGCATGATTTACACAGGGAGCATCTCATATTTTTACATAAATAAAATCTGAAGGAAGGCTGAAAAAATGATAAACACCCTTTACTAAACAACTCAAAAGACAGAGGATCAGCCACAGAAGGAGAAGAATGCAGAAAGTGGCCACACCTGGGCCATCTGCTCTGCCCCCCCCCCAGCACCAGGGCCGGGGCCACACATACACTGGCCACTCAAATGTCCCCCAGACAAATTCTCTTGGTCAGACCATTTCTGCACGTTCTTCTCAGTAACCTGAGATTCTGGGAGGCACAGCAGCACAGCCAGGACCCTGAAGCCTTCCAATTTCCCAGCTCAGCCAGGAGTGGTGGTGCACGCCTGTAATCCCAGCACTCAGGAGGCTGAGGCAGGAGGACGAGACCAGCCTGGGCTACACAGTGAGTTCCACGTCAGTCTCAACTACACAGTGAGACCCCGTCTCAAAAAACCAAAACCAAAACCAAAAAAAAAACAATTTCCCAGCCCAGGGTGCCCCTCCACACAGGCACAGAGAGCCTGGCTTCTGCACACTCTACCCTGAAACCCAGAGTCCCACCCTAAGTGCCCCTCTGCCCAGTCAGACACTGGGAGAGGAAGTCTGCGCACTGGGGTCACTGTGACTTACGGACGCTTGCCGACCTGCATTGGGGCTGAGGCGCCCCTGGGAAAGTCCACAGCTCAGGGCCCTGTGCGCCCACAATGAGAAGGGGAGGCCTCCCCGCAGCCGCGAGCTGCAGATCGGAGGGATGCACTACCCCAGGCGGCACCCTCCGGGCACCGTCCCTGCTCACACTCACCCTCCGCCGTGAGCCACCCAGGTCCCGCTGCAGCTCCTCTAGTACCACCACAGCCTCCTCGCCACTCTCAGGCTGGTGCAGCTGCACCCAGGTCCGGAGCTCCCCCGGCAGGATGCTCAGGAACTGCTCCAGCACCAGCAGCTCCAGGATCTGGGCCTTGGAGAGAATATCCGGCCTCAGCCACCAGCGGCACAGCTCCCGGAGCCGGCTCAGCGTCTCCAGCGCACTGGAAGACTCGTGGTAGCGAAGCTGCCTGAAGAGCTGGCGGAAGAGCTCTTGGCCCGGTCGGTTGAGCGTCTGTGGCCGGGCGGTCTGCACCGAGGCATAGCCTTCGTCCTCCTCTTCCTCCTCCTTCTTCACAGTGAGGAGCCCTCGCTCCCTGGGAGCCTGGGCCTGTGCTGCAGGGACCGCGTACCACCGGCCTGGGGGCATCGCTCCGCTCAGTCTGCCCGTGTGCGAACCAGGATCCTCCAGGTGTCTTCTCAGCACCGTGCTGAACACGGCCATCTGCGGGGACACCACATGTCACTGGCAAGAGACGGAAGTCACCTGTCCAGGAGGAGAAGGAAACGATGTGCATCACAGCCCACCCTGCCCGGGCCATCCCTGCCCAGATCAGGTCGGGACCGTGGCGGCACACTCAGATCCCGGCACCCAGCACCGGCACCGGAACACAAGGACACAGAAAAACTTGTATGGGGCGGAAACCGCAAACCACCGATGACAAAAGCCCATGAAGCTCTACGTAAACAGACAGCCCAGGGTCAGCTCTCAATGAAGCTCCAGCCCTCCCCAGGCATTGCAGTCCCTTCCCTGTCAGACTTCCCACGTGCGGCTCAGTAGCAGAGCAACTGGCCAGGGCCTGGGGCCTGGGATTTAATCCTCAGCAGTGAAGAAATCTTAAAGACATTTTTAGCAGATATAAGAATATGCTACAATGAATGTTGGAAAAGCAATCACTAGCTAACTTTGAAAAATACAATGGAAGGCATCAATCTAACAGATTTCAAGGCTTATGGTACAGTATAGTAATCGCCGCTAAGACTACACAGCTCTAAGAAACACAACAAAAACTAGAAAGAGCCCTCACAAATCTGCTCGGCGGATCTTTAAAATATCAAATGTGGCTTATTAATATTGTGATACAATGTTTTAAAATTTCAAGCAACTAAAAAAATGTTGACTGGGATCCCTGATTTTACTGTGGGCACCAATGGTTTAAAAATAGTAATTTGAAAACTATGAATCCAGCCAGTTTCCCACTAACTTCCTGTGCTCCCTTTTAAGATTTAGCATAACAAAGGCGTCTAAGGGCTCAAGCCACTTTCAGGAGATAGCAGAGTTTAACAGAAAGAGCACAGAACCCGAACTAGGTCAGACCTGGCTCCAAATGGGGTGGAGGACAACAGCAGGACAGGACACACAGGGCCGGGGGAGAGAATCGCTGCTCATCACAGTGCAGAATGGGGGACGGTATTTAAGTAAGAAGCCAGGGGCTTCTTTTGGGTTTTCTCCCAATGTTTGTTTCTTCACATCTAAGAAAGGAGCTTGCACCACAGGCCACATCACCATTTGCAACAGTTTGAAAAAGAATAAAATTTCACAAAAGATGTGTAAATGTATACCCTGAAAACTAAAAAACACTGTTAAAAGAAATTAAACATGACAAGAAGACCCAAAGTGACCTACAGATTCAATACAATCTGATGACTTTGGAGCAACTGACAAGCTGATCCTGAAAGACCCATGGATAATCAAAGACCAACAGAGTCAAAACAGCCAGGACAGCTAGGCATAGAGGCACACGCCTGCAGTCCCAGTACTCAGGAGGCCAAGGCAGGAGGATACCATGAGTTAGAGGCCAGCCTGGGCTACACAGTGAGTTCAAGGCCAGCCTGCACTACACAGTGAGACCTTGTCTCAAAAACATGTTATTTATTTATTTATTTATTTATTGGGGATGGTGCCGGAAATCAAACTCAGGACCTTGCATTTGCCAGGCTGAGCGAAATCCCCAGCCCTTGTCTCAAAAACAACAACAACAAAAATCAGCCAGGAAAAAGGACTGAGCTGGAGAACTCGGAGGCTGTGATGGGGACAGTGTGTGGTTCAACAGGACACAGGTGTCAGGCCTGGTCCTGAGCCTGTGCAGGGCCCAGTGGAAGTGAGGCCAGGGAGAGGACTTCAGCCCCTTTTGTTTTCCAGCCGCCACCATGAGTGAAGCAGCTTCTTCTGCCACAGGGCCCACAAGCGACTTCGAGCTCCCAAACTGTGAGTCAAAAGAAACTTCTAGTCAGTTGGATATGCAGGTATTCTGTTATAGCAATGCAAAGCTAACACTCTATCACTACAAGTCAGTGGGTAAAAAATATACCATGCAGGGCATTGTTGGGATGATTGGCAAGGCAAATACAATACAAACACACACAAAGAATTCTAGTTAAACAAAACAGGAAAAGAATAAAAAGAGAAAGTAAGAATCATGGGGTTGCTGGGCGTGGTGCCGCACGCCTGTAATCCCAGCACTCGGAGGCTGAGGCAGGAGGATCGCTGTGAGTTCGAGACCAGCCTGGACTACATAGTGAGTTCCAGGTCAGTCTCAACTACATAGTGAGACCCTGCCTCAAAAAACAAACAAACAAACACCCAAAAAAAGAATCACGGGATTAAAAAAAGGATCTTTGTTTTTGGTACTGGGGATCAAATTCTGGACTTTGCACTTGTAAGGCAGACAGCAGCACCACTGAGCTAAATCCCCCCCAGTCCCCGAAAAAGGATTTCTTAAGACAATAAAAAGAGGGCAAGTACAGGGGTCCATGCCTGTAGTCCCAACCTCATAGGAGGCTGAGACAGGAGGACCACTTAATGCAAGAGTTTGAGGCCTTCCTGGCAACATCAAAGACCATTTCAAAAAACAAATTTAAATTTTAAAAAAGACACCAGAAGGAAGAGTGAGGTAAACTGAGAGGTACGTTATGGCTGTAAAAACAAGTCAGTCTGACTCAACCTGGCTGAGTGTGCAAGAGACAAGGCCGCCTTAGCACAGCTGCACCTCCCAGAAGCCACCTAACAGGAACAGGAACTGCTCAGGCTCCTGGGAAAGAACACCTGTAAGCGGCCAGAGCTACACAGGGTGAGAAAGGGGCATCTTTCTGCATCCAGGTAAGGAGACAGTGCCCACCTCTACTCTCACTTTCCTGTGTGCGCTGCTGGAGCATCTGAGTTCCACCTTTGGCACAGATTGAACTGTCCACACCAGATAGTGACTCTGCTTTACAGGAAGTCAGAAATCATTATTCGGAGCCAGACGCGGACCAAGGCCCGGGAGCAAGGATTCAAGTTACCCTGGGGCTGCGCGGAAATGGATTTCGGATTTCTACCGCAGGGGCCCTCGGGCCTCGGAGGGAAGCGGGGCTGCCCGGGAGTTGGCTGTAGCGGGGCAGCGGCGAGCCACAGGCTTCCCCCCTCCCAAGGCCCCACCAGCTTCAAACGACAGAGGAACGCCTCCTCGTATAAAACTGTGAACACCCAGGCTGGTTCTCAGGGAATCCCATCTTGGAACTTTAATCTGGATTTCTACCGCAGGGGCCCTCGGGCCTCGGAGGGAAGCGGGGCTGCCCGGGAGTTGGCTGTAGCGGGGCAGCGGCGAGCCACAGGCTTCCCCCCTCCCAAGGCCCCACCAGCTTCAAACGACAGAGGAACGCCTCCTCGTATAAAACTGTGAACACCCAGGCTGGTTCTCAGGGAATCCCATCTTGGAACTTTAATCTTGGGGGGGGGGTGAGACAGGGTCTCACTATGTGGTTCAGACTGCTCTGGAACTCACTGTGTAGCCCAGGCTGGTCTCGAACTCACAGTGATCCTCCTGCTTCAGCTTCCTCAGTGCTGGGATTACAGGTGTGCGCCACCATGCCCAGCCTGGAGCTTTAATCTTAACCCATCATCACCACAGCTGGCTTTGAAGACCACAACATGGAACTTCCAAGATGCCCTTTTCCCTTCATGGGTAGTTTTGTTTCTCCGTTTTTCTTCTGAAAGCCCCACTAAGGAGTCTCTTATTTTTGTGTTTTCCTACCAGTGTGAGTGAACACAGGGTATATTTTATAAACTGATAATAAACTAACAACTTTCTAAGATATTAACAGCTAAGCATTGCTTTTGGTACATACTTAAACCATAAAACAATATTTCTATTAATTTATCAATTAAAAAATCATGTAAAATGCCCAAAACTCAGTCTCCAAAAACCGAATCCAATGAAAGAAACTAGCCCGCCTTGGAGAAGTGGTTGATACCAAGCCAGGGCAGGAAAAATATGAGTGTTTCACAGTAGTAGAAAAATAACAATGGACTCAAAAATGATGGAATAATGTCAAGGGGCCACAGGAGCCAACTTATAGCACTCTCAAAGCCTGAAATTAGAATAATTTAAGCAACAATAAACACCCTAAAGGCACAGGGGCGTGGTGGTGCACACCTGTAATCCCAGCACTCCAAAGGCTGAGGCAGAAGGATCATGCCAGTTCAAGGCTGGCCTGGGCTAAGACCACCCTGAACTACAGTCTCAAAACAAAACAAAACAAAACAAAAAGCAAAGAATAAACACCCACAGGCAAATACTGATAAAACTGACTGAGTAAATACATCAAGGGGGAAGGGGAGAACTCTTCTTCACAAAACCTTCTAATAGGAAACAGAGAAGGAAGAGAGGGAAAGACACAGTACTCATTGCTGCAGGGGAGACTGACCCATGAATGCTAATTAGGAGGTGAAAGTTAAGGACAGAGAGAGTACCTGAATGCTAAATCCCACACTATCTCCCCTACATAAATACAGCAACAAAAGGAGAGAGTGAGTAACCTTAAGATCAGAAACAAGACACATTAACTTCACTCTCTGCAAAGCACAAGAAAACAACACAGAGACTCAAACTGAGAGATATTCTAATATCACAGATAACAAAATTCTTCCAAACTGTCAAGGTTCTGAGGGCACAGAAAGACTAGGAGTTGTTGCAGACTTTAGATGACCGAGGAGATCGACAAATGTAGCAAAGGCACTGGATTGGATTTCATTGGATTTCTACACAGAAAAAGAGAAAAACTGGTAAACTTTGAACAGACTCTAAAGTTTCATGAACAGTACTGTACCAATATAAATTTCTTCACTTTGATGAGTATATTATGATTATGCAGGATACTATTTATAAGCAAACTAGGTAAAAGGTACAAGAGAACTCCACATAATTTTTTGAAGCTTCGGTAAATATGCAATTATTAGTGATACAAGTGTTTTAAAAGAAATATAGCCAGGTATAGGGGCACACACCTGTAATTCCAGTGCTTGGGAGGCAGAGGCAGCCTGGGCAACTTAGTGAGACCCTTCCTCCAAAAACAAGAAGTTTGATCATTATCATTTTTATGACTTATTTCCATTTGGGGTGTTGAGGACTAACTCGGCAATAACGTCTAATAAAAGACTATTAAGTACTGTTGATTTTTCTTCTTGCAGTTTGGATTCTCGGTGTCATTAGGCTAACGCAGCACCGACGATGTACCTGTCACAGGAACAGGCCTATAGCACTGCCTTCAGGAGTCCAGGGGGAGGTGATACATACAGTACACGGTGGACTACATACTAACAGACATCTTGAAAAAGAGTTTTATATAATAAAACAGAGAAGTTCTTGTATAAAGCGTAACAATTCACCTGGCAAGTCATAGGAAAGCTCAGAAGACCTCTTTCAGCTCTTTCTAGTACAAAAATATTTCAGATTGCAAAAGATAACAAGTTATATACTACGGTATCTCTTTATTTTACATCTCTCTGCTCGCCTTTGTATCTCTTCACTCTCTTTGTATCGCTTTACAGTATTTTGTATCTTTACTCTCAAGCAGCTCTAATATCACAGAATGCTCAGTAATTCCTGGATGCTAGAACCACCTGGGGGAATAGTTAGCATTTTCCCAAGGACATGGGACTGAACCCAGGGCCTGTGCACGGAGCTAGGTCCTCAGCCCTTTATTTTGGGACAAGGTCACATGACGTTGCTAAATTGACCGGGCTGGACTTGAACTTGCGATCTACCTGTCTCAGCCTCCCAGAGCACTGGCACGGCAGGGATGTACCATCACACCTGGCAAGCATGTTTCTTTTTAAGTGCATAGTGAGGTTTATCCTAAACTGTTCCCATCTTTTCAGAGTACAGTAAGAAGGGATTTATTATATTTTTCAGCCAAGATTTCTTTCTTTGGCATTAAGGAAATATACAAAGCCAGCCTAATTCTTTAGTCCCTGTATATTCAGACAGTCAGCATACAGGGTGTACATAACACCCTGTGCACACTACAGTTACTGAAGGTTACAGCTCTCTGTTTAAAAGCTGCACATTGGCTCTTTCATCTTGAAAGAGAATCACCCTAAGAGATTTTGCTGTTTCCCTGTCACTTGAGCATTTCACATCTTGGAATTACAATATGGTAAAACACACATAACATTCACCATATAATTATATGACTTTAATCATTTTAAAATGTATAATTTAGTATTATGTAAATGTATTATGGGAAATAAACCAATAACGTGATGTCTTAATTATGCTGGGGGGGTGTATTAGGAGTGTCATCATAACTTCCCAGGCAGCAGGTAGGTAGATAGATGGGTTCTGTTCTGAGTTGGGACACAGACCACAGCGAACCAGGAAGGTACCCACAGTGCGGCTGGTGCTTGCCTGGCAAGTGCAAGGTCCTGAGTTCGATCCCTGATTCTGAAAAAACCAAAACAAAACCAAGGACTGTCCACACCTGCACAGTTGACCCGACTCTCCTAAAATAAGCCCTAATTATACGATCATGAGCATGTCACACCTAGGAACTGACGTTCATCAATCTGATTAAAAACTGATGCATGATGGGAAGACATGCGCAGTCCAAAAGTAAAAAAGGAGGAAAGGCACCTAATGCGTACACGGAGGGAGGGTGTAGAACCCTAAAACGAAGGATGTGTGGGGAAAATAAAAGGAATTGGGACCATGGGGGTCGGCGCCACGCACACTCTAGTGGGCTGTATCTTCTGCAATAAACTTTCTGCCTTCCTAAAATCAACACTTTGCTTGCTTGTGGTCTCTCTGTTCGAGTGAATGAGGTGGGCCGAGCGCACTACCCTCAGGCCGCCAAGGTCCGGGGATTCGCGGAGCCGCCTAAATGAGGGAAACACCAGCACCGATTTAAACCAAAATATGAACGAATGGGTTTCGGGACGTGGCTCGCTGGTAGAGCGCTGGCTCAGCATGCACAAAAAAATGCATTCCTCCAGGTCAGATTACAGTTTTTAAAGCGCAGTAGCATGAACGTACCTAGCGCCACTGAGCCCGGCATTTTTCAATGGTTAAATGGCAACACGTGTAGGTACCGCACGGCAAATGGTACGCGTCTAGTCTAACACTGTCCCATCGCAATAGTACGAACCTGTTCGTTGAGCAGCAGCAGCGTGACCCCACTCAGAATCACCTGCACACGCACGGCAGCGTGCACATGAGTGTGCGTCTGCGCCTCTCGACGCC